TCTATGTTTTATATATAGGCTAAAGTGAGTTTGACGTTGTATTTTGTTGTTGCATTCAAGCAATTGACGCCGAACTGCTGCTAATTCGAAAGTGAAAGTAAAATGCGCATGGCGATTTTAAGCTATATATATTATTATTATGTAAAATATTATATAATATTGTATTATAGTTATTATATCCAAGTTGTCTGGAACTCAGCATTAGGTTAACATTTCAATAAACGAGCGTGTACTACACAATTACGAGCCATTCTATAAGGTGACATTTCAGCACTTGACAAACGGATAGCGACTCCTAAGTAGCACTTAAAGCATGGCTACGTGCGATTGTAAGTGCGTTTTTGGGAAACGCACGTGAAACAATAACGAACGATCGTAAAATGACTCGTAGAAAACGATCTTAAACTCTAAGATCAATCGTTATCGAGAAACGCAGCCCTGAAGAGTATGTGTGGCATTCAGTCACCGCACTGGTGTGGATATTTACTGTACTTCGCAATCACAGATTCTAGCCTACGTCTTAGAATATATGACTCAAATAAGCATTTTCACTGGATATTGTCATCTGAACAAGTAAGTAACAAGTCTGCCACGTTTGTTCTGGCCAACTGAGGAAAAAAGCATTACAATAAATAACGCTACCAATGGTGATTAAATCGAAATTAGCTCATATCACATCAAAACGTGCAAATTATTATTATTGTTATACTTTATTCTCAAATTGCTAACGTTAACAACATCCGCATTGCGTGACTATGAGTATAGTGTGTATAAGCGAGTAGATTTCAATTTCTGAACTACAGTCTAAACTCTAATTGTCATACCACTCGAATTTCATATTAAGAAATTCTATTAACTAAAAAGCAAATTATGCTCCCTTCGAACTGGTTGTCTTTAAAATACAAATCTTGTGTAATCCCAGGCTATCTGTAATCAGAAGCACATTTAAAACTGGAATATAATTTAATTTCATTCACATGTGTTTCATAAACACAATCCTTTCTGGATTACAATCCGCCAAATGCAGTATTTTATCAAAATGATCAATTTAATTATTCCAGCTGCTTTGAGAAAAGGCTAGTTTTGAGCACTGGCTGGTTATGTACTTGCTCAAATATTGATTTCGGATCATTTTTAACCAAAAGAAGTTACGGACTGCAGCTTTAAGTATAGAGCACACTGAGCATTTTACATATGTGGGTTTAGGCTATGTCATGTGGTTGGTTTAGATGACAGGGAAGAGAGAGAGACTGTGAAAAGAGATGATCATCCTCATCATTTCTCTCAGAGGAGACCACAGGGGATCAATAAAAGGCGCTCCTGTTTTATGAGTTTTTTTAATTAATTAATTTATTTTTGGGTCATCGCTGCCTTGAGGACCACCTTGCGTTTTTTTAATTAATTAATTTATTTATTTTTATCTCATATAGGCTAACTTTAATATTACTACATTGGTGAGTTTTAAATCTTGAAAACGCAATCGCGATAGAATCTAAATAATTACAAAATTTAAAGCACAAAACTTTATTACTCAATGGTCGGGAACAATAATTTGATTTTGACAAGGAAGCCATCAAATAACAAGTCTGAGGCGGTTCCCGTTAAAGAGCGCACGTTTACGGACTTAAACTGGGCTGTATGCAGCAGTACTAGTGAAAGGTAAAACTGCTTGTGTTCGTTTCTTCTAGCTGTATTCGTTTCGTTCAAAAACTCTATTAAAATATAAAATGTTGTACTTGCTAGAATTGATCATGGTGACTGGAACTGTCTCTGTTTTAATATCAAAGGTGTGCAGAAGGAAAAGAACATCCAACAGGCTCAAAATAACTCAATGAGAACGGACACTAACTGAAGGAGCATGAACGACTCGTCACGCCATCACTTCAGCATGAAACACATGGACTACATGTATAATATTGACAATAACATAACTTTGAACGCAACGCTCGGCGACATGAATGGCACAGGAATCGCCCAAATCATGATCCCTCAGGAGTTGTTTCTCATGCTCGGCTTGATCAGTTTGGTTGAAAACATCTTGGTGGTGGTGGCCATCATCAAGAACAGGAATCTTCACTCGCCAATGTATTATTTTATCTGCTGTCTGGCGGTGTCGGACATGCTGGTGAGCGTCAGTAATGTGGTGGAGACGCTCTTCATGTTATTGATGGAGCATGGGCTGCTGCTCGTCACGGCAAAGATGTTACAGCACTTAGACAATGTGATCGACATTATGATATGCAGTTCTGTCGTTTCCTCGTTGTCGTTCCTGTGCACTATTGCGGCGGACCGCTATATCACCATCTTTTACGCGCTCCGGTACCACAGCATCATGACCACGCAGCGTGCCGTGGCCATCATCGCGGTGGTGTGGCTCACCAGCATCACCTCGAGCTCTGTTTTTATCGTTTATCACACTTACAACGCTGTCGTCGCCTGTCTCGTCACGTTTTTTGGCGTGACGTTGGTGTTCACGGCGGTTCTGTACCTGCACATGTTCATCTTGGCGCACGTCCACTCCAGACGCATCATGGCTCTCCATAAGAGTCGCCGGCAAGGCACTAGCATGAAGGGAGCCATCACTCTGACTATCCTGCTCGGGGTTTTCGTCATCTGTTGGGGGCCGTTCTTTCTCCACCTCATCCTCATCCTTACCTGTCCCACAAACCCTCACTGCAAGTGTTATTTCAGTCATTTCAACCTGTTTCTAATTCTTATCATATGCAACTCGCTTATAGACCCTCTCATTTACACATATCGCAGTCAGGAGCTGCGCAAGACGCTCAAAGAAATTATTTCTTGTTCGTGGTTCTTTGCAATGTGAGTTATTCCTTCTAGACGTTTGTAAGAAACACGTGGAGGAGCATCTGCGTTGATGTCCAATTATTCAGTCTCATTCTCAGCAAATAGCGTCCTCAATGACTCTCTGTCTCTTCAACTTTACAGTAAATACACTCAGATACTGCTGATTGAGAGAACTAGATTTGATTAACTTTTAGAGGCAAAACACTTAGACAGATTTTTCTATAAAATTAATAACCGTTTGAACAAAGTGCATTTTTTATTTACTTAAATCATGCTTGATGGGATAAATAATATGGCTCAACAAATGACGTTTAAGTCCAAACAAATGAATGTTTAAGTCCCTTTAGTTTAAAACTAAAACAAAAAATAATTCACTAATAATAATAATACTACTACTACTAACAGGTATTTTCCCAGTTTTGAGGCATTAATTTCTGTTTTGTACACTTTAGCCTAATAAGTATGATTCACATACATTTTGCTTTATTGACCAAATTGGCTTGAGCTCCCAAAGCACCTCCCTCTGCACGTGCCTAATTATTATTAGAAATTCATCCCTTCATCAATGCCCCAAAATGCTTGTCCTCTGCAGGGTCACAAAAAGTATTAGAAATGGCTCAAAAAATTCTAATTAATGTGAATGAAAATCTGACCAAGAACTATCAGAGGACATAGTGTTCATTCAGTAATGCATGCATTCTTCAGGAGTTCTCTCTCTCTCTCTCTCTGGTGCTCTCTCTCTCTCTCTCTCTCTCTCTCTCTCTCTCTCTCTCTCTCTCTCTCTCTCTCTCTCTATTTTTGTTTTATTTAAATTGGAATTTGTTTTATAAAAATATTTTCTAATGTTCCTAATGCTGCAATAAGAAACTATGAAAATCCTGCATTAAACGCATCATCATATCTTACAAAGCAGTGCTAATTACAGTTTCCGTTTCAACAAACAGTTTTTTGATGAGAAATCGCTTTTGTAAAAGCAGCAGTTGTCTTCTCAATGCATCCAGTCCTGCTGGATAGTAATAAAAACTCAAAATCTAGAGTTTTCCCCCCACAAAGAAATTAACCAAGTCCTAATGGATTCTTTTGAACAGCCTGAACTATGTGTTGAAAGCTAGACAAGAACTGGTTTTTTTTTTTTTTTAAATATTATTATTATTATGGTAACACTTTACATTAAGGTTCTATTAGTTAATGTTAGTTAATGTATTAACTATTATGAACAAACAATGAACAATACATTTATTACAGTATTTATTAATCTTTGTTAATGTTAGTTAGTGAAGATACAGTTGTTCACTGTTAGTTCACAGTGCATTAACTAATGTTAACAAGCACAACTTTTACATTACATTACATTTTACATTTAGTCATTTAGCAGACGCTTTTATCCAAAGCGACTTACAAATGAGGACAATAAAAGCCGATAAAAATAACAAAAGAGCAACAATATAAAAGTGCAAATGACAAGTCTCGGTTAGCCTAACGCAGTACATGTAGCAAGGTGTATATATA